TACAAAGGACATCTTCACTGAAAGTATACGGGAAAAGGCACAGACACAAATCAACACTAGGGTAGAGGTCAACGTTGGGAAGCACTGGAACAACCTGAAAGTGGTGTGGAGTCAAACGTGCATGGAAGTTCCAGGCAGAAAGAAGAGACAGGACAACAGTGGCTCACTACGGACACTTGGAAAGTAATAGAAGAGAAAGGGTGGTGGAACAAAAGGTTATCCAGTGCACCGACGAGCAACAAAAACAGGAGTTGCATGCAAGCTACAATACGCTGAACAAAATAGTGAAGAGAAGTGCCAGGGAAGACAAAAGAAAATATTATGAAGCTATTGCAAGTGAAGCAGGACAAGCTGCAGACAAAGGAGACCTCACAACACTCTACCAAACAATTAGGTTCCTATCAGGGAAACGTTCAACACAAATTAAGCCAGTGAAGGATGACAATGGAAGGCCTATCACCAAGGAGATGGAGCAAGGCAGACACTGTTCTGAACACTTCGTAAGACTTGCAAATCGATCGCCACCTACAATGCGCCTGACAATACCAACAACGGAAACAGAACTGCCAGTAAACATCGAGCCCCGACGAAATCAGAAGTCCTGAATGCAATCAAGATGCTAAAATCCGGCAAAGCAGCAGGACCAGAACGAACCCCAGTGGAAGCATTGAAAATGGACCCTGGGACAACAGCGGACTTGATGACGCCATTGCTGGAGAAGGTGTGGAAAGAGGGCAAAGAACCCGAGGTTTGGAATAAAGTATACTTATTCAAACTGCCAAACAAAGGAGACTTAATTCAATGTATAAACTCGCGCGATGTTATGCTCCGGTTCATCCCAAGCTAAATACTAAGCCGAATCATTCTGTAGAGAGTCAAACACGCCAACCTGGGTGAAAAACGTCGACTGGAACAGACTGGGTTCAAGAGAAACAAGTCATGCATTGATCAAATCGCCACACTACGGATCATCAATGAACAAAGCTTTGAATGGCAGTCGTCTCTATATCTCAACTTCATCGACTTTGAAAAGGCCTTCAGCTGACAGCGTCGATCGAGAGGTGATTTGGCAACTACTTTGCTACTATGGGGTCCCATCGACAATTATACATCCCATCCAACAGTTATACGACAATGCTGCATACCAAGTAATCCACAACGGGGAACTCACGGAAGCCTTCAAAGTGAGGAAGGGAGTGCGGCAAGGCTGTCTACCATCGCCAATGATTTTCCTGATTGCAGTAGATTGGATAATGCGACAGGCAACGGGCAATGAGGAAACAGGCATAAAATGGACTCACACAAAAACGTGGAGGGTCTGGACTTCGCCGATGACATATGTCTGATTTCCCACAAACTGGAAGATATGCAAGTGAAAAGCAACAAGTTGGTAGAAGAAGCATCCAGATAAGTTAGGCCATCAGTGAACATAGATAAAACAGAGGGGATGGAGATTCCTGGCCAACACCATCAGCAATAACAACAGTCAACAATCAGCATAAACGGCAGGAACCTGAAAGGAACAACCTCCTTTACCTAACTGGGAAGCATCGTTTTAACTACAGGCGGATGGAACTGACGAGGATATCAGAGCGAGAATCGGAAAAGCAAGACAAGCTCTCATTACTCTGGAGTCTGTGTCAAGGTCAACAGCACTACGCAGAACCAAATATAAGATCCGGATCTTCAACTCCAATGTGAAGTCAGTCAGTGCTACTATACGGATGAGAGACTTTGTGCATCGTAGAGTGCATCTTAAACAAACTACAGACCTTCATCAACAGGTTTCTTCGCTCAATACTTAAGATCAGATGGCCAGAAAATATCGGCAATGGGGATCTCTGGGAGCGAACCAACCCAGCAGGAACCGATTGTGCAACAAATAGACAGGAAGAAATGGAGATGGATTGGCCATACGCCGAGTAAACCATCAAGTGACATCACTAGACAAGCCATTGCTCGAGTGGAACCCGAAAGGGAAACGGCGAGTTGGTCGTCAGTGCAAGGGTGACTTCGAGGAGGTTATGTGAAGAGGAGATGAAAGCATGTGGCCAGACTTGGAGCCAGAGGAAAAAGTTGGCAGAAAACCGAACGCAATGGAGACGTGCAGCTGAAGCCCTATGTTCCTCTAGGAATAAAAGGATATAATAATAATACTTGTGAATACACTATGAATCAACAACATTGTTGTGCAATTGAAGCTGTAGGAAATGAAATAGGTGTCATGTATTATTTCTAATTCAAAAAGTGAGAATTTGCTGGGAAAATGGTTCGAAACAGAACCTAGTGTCAACTCAAGTGAGATACCTCCATTTGAATCATCCTGACGATCTATGCGTGACATCCATTGGCACTTATCTGGGACAATGTGACCGAGGTGTCTCTCTGGGCATAGCCAAAACTTTCGTGATCCCAAATTTTCAGCCAGGATTTTGTATAGCACGGAACTCAGGTTCATCATTTCTCTACACCTTTCCCACCATAAATAGCCTACTGTTTCAGCATTATTAATATTACTATTATCCAATCACGTCATCTGTCCAAACGTCATATATGGTGTTTCTTATTTCCAAGTTTTAAATCCATATCTGTGTTACACAGCTTCACCCTGTCACTCATTACATCTTGACCTTTAAGCGTTAACAGTTTCGGAAGCTTCCTCTCTCTCTGTGTTATATATTCCGGAGTTCATAGCCCAGGAGATGACATTGTCGAAAAAGAAAATAATTTCACTCACTGAAATCGTCTGCTTGCTATCCATGTCAACGAGGTAAGTAAATTTCATGAATCAAATTAATCAATGATTCATCAACTTTACTGCTTGTGATTTCACTGAGGAAGCCTCATAGGAGTATGTTGAAAGCCGTTTCAGAAATTGCACTTGAGAAGAGACTATGAGTCAACAACGTCGTTGGATAATTAAAGCAGTATGTTATTTATTTAAATTGAAGATAGATACTTGGTAGCTCAGTGATTTAGGAAAGGCCGCCACAAATAATCTACTCATGATCCTTAGAATGCAGAGAACACGAAATTCAGCAGAGATATCTTTCATTTTCAAAAGCTGTACAATCGCATTCAAATACATAATTCTTGTTTGATTTCACATAATTACGACGGCGAATAAAAGGTGATAATTGTTTTCAACTAGATGTGGTTTACGAGAGGTTCAGGTCTAGTATACATTTCTCGCTGAGACAAATAATATTTGAGTGGGAAATCTCTTTTAATCTTACATTGGTAAATTTAGTTATGATAACGAGTATTATTATTACGGCTTATTTATCTGTAGCACGTATTGAGTTCAATCGGTATTTTCAGAGAAATTCATCACACGACCGTTTGTAAGTACACAAATGGTAAATGTGTGTCCTCGTGGTTTTTCTATTTCATGATAAGACACATGTAAAGCATCTTCACATAGTGGAACACCATGTTTGTGACGGATCAGTATTTAACATAATTAGGTTAATGACTGCCATCTCACAGTGTTCAGAATGTGGGTGGTGTATATCTGATTGCTTTCTTGTGGAGCATACTTTACTAGAAGTATCGCATGTTTGTACACTATTTACCGAATCTCTTATGTAGAAATGTTTGTTTAATCGTCGTCCAAAGCATTTTGTTAACCTCTGAACTTGTGACTGTTTTATTAGGTGTTATTACTGATATTTTATACTGGTATAGACACCATCAGTTCTCTGGTTAAATTATAACTGTGATATTTGTTGTTCTAATTACGCCATGTTTTGAAAATTTCGCTTGTATTTCTGAGATATTTGCATCCAAACATTAGCAGATTATTTTACACGAAATACACTTTTAAACGCCATAAATGTCTTCTGTTAGTGTCCAGTCTGAGCATAAATGATTCCAACAGGAAATGGGACACTGTCACAGTTCCTCAATCGTTTACCATCATGATATTTATTCAGATAACTGACAGCCTCGTGTCAACTACAAGTGGCATGGATGAGAATTTGAAATGCAAGATTGAAAGAGTATGACAGACCTTCAATTATCTGAAATCACTGTTGAAACGTGCTGCATGCAGAACAAGGAATAGGCTTGAGATTTTCATCACAAATGGGCTCGAACAAAGGAACATCTTCCTAGTTTGCAGCATTTAGGCCAAGTCATTCTTTGTCTATGTATGTTTCCGAGGTTTAGTTAGTCAACGAATCTGATTCGAAGAGTCTATGGCAAACTTTTTTCATCACATGTATTCCCCGGTTCGATATAGAAGATCGAATTTTGAGAAGGGATTAACAACAAAGAATGAAATGCAGAATGAAATCAGGATGTACTGGATATGACTGGAGGAGACATTTGATTGATACCAAGAAGAAGCCAAAATGCATTGCGAATGGGAGATGACGAATTCAGTGTTTCCTAAGACTAAAATGGAGAACATCGCGTCAGGAGGAAATGGGGGCGTATGGGAATTCATTAAGTCAGGCAAACACCACTCAGTTGAACTTGGTGAGGTGCACATGGGCTGTTGAAGCCCTTAATTCCACTGGAAACCCTATGCAACAATGAAATGTATTAAATAATAACAATAATCGATAGCTGCCTTCTGAATTCGAAATAAGTATAATATATACATTTATTAATGATGAAACTGAAAAGCGAAATTGGTACATTGTTTAAAACAAAACAGAACAGAACAAGTAATTCAACAAAGATGATTACAATTTACTGTCGAAATGAGAAGGGTGTGATGTGAAACCGAAAGAGAATGAGAGTGATTCACATTTATACAAATCGTGAAGATGTCATATGAAAATAAAATGTGGTAGACAAAATTATGAAAGAGTACTGATATCTCTGATAAATGTGAATGAAGACGTTTTATTCCTCTACTTTTTCATTTGTAGACAGAAAAATCTGGATGTTTTTATAGGCGAAACGTATCGAGTGTTAGCGAAATCATAGAAATACCAATGTTTTCACTTGGAATGAGATTCTTGTTTATTTCTCCGCTGATGGGTGTTCAGACTCAGCTGGAGGTGAGGGTTTTGATCCGTCATTGTTGGACATTGGTGGTCCGAGTGGAGGGGACTGTCCACCTGAAGGTGGTTGGTTAATCGGTGCGGATACATGTGAATATACTGATTTAGGCGTTTGTCCAAATTCTGAGGGTAGTCCAAATTGTGGAGGTTGTCCGAATGATGGCGGTGGTCCGAATTGTGGAGGTTGTCCGAATGATGGCGGTGGTCCAAATTGTGGAGGTTGTCCAAATGATGGTGGCGGTCGGAATAGAGGTGGTTGTCCGAATGATGGCGGTGGACCAAATTGTGGAGGTTGTCCGAATGATGGAGGTGGTCCAAATTGTGGAGGTTGTCCGAATGATGGAGGTGGTCCAAATTGTGGAGGTTGTCCGAATGATGGAGGTGGTCCAAATTGTGGAGGTTGTCCGAATGACGGAGGTGATCCAAATTGTGGAGGTTGTCCAAATGATGGCGGTGATCCAAATTGTGGAGGTTGTCCGAATGACGGGGGTGGTGCGAAATCTGGGGATTGTCCGGATGGAGGAAGTGTTCGAGGCAAAAGTGGAACCTGTGGAAGTCCATTTTTGTTCAACGGAATACCTAGTGGAATGAGTAAAAATAGTGAGACAGACTCAATTACATTCAAAACATGAAATTTAGTAATTTATTTTGATAAAACTTCGCACTAAGTTAGAACCTGTTTAATATCAGTCAAACTATTTTATTATCAGATAATTTCTCGAGAATAACTGCGCAATTATTCCTACGAAAAGAATGCACAAAATCATGTTACCAGCTTCTGAGATGCTCAGTGTTTCTCTTTTCCGAAGTTCAAGAGATAATAAAGTTTCGTTAAAGAGTAACATATCCGTCGGATTAAGAGTATTAACCCTGAACACAAAATCAGTATCACTTTTATGAACAACCGTTTGACGTAAAACTAATCTGTGCTAAATAGTCCTACAAAATCCACCAGAAGATATCTGCGATTTCCAACATACTTCTGAGAGCTTTCCGAAGTGAACGCCAAGTGAGAGGCTACGAGGACTATTTTCATGTGACTTCAAGCTTTTACTTACAAAACCGATTCTAATTTTCTCACTTGTGCATTTCAACAATGAAATGTAATACTACTACTACTACTAATAATAATGATTTGCTTTATTCCAAAACAGTAGTCATGATAGAGTGGGGAATTCTCATCATTCACTACAGTGTTGCATCTTTTTTACTCGATAAGCAAGCGGAAAAGCAAAGACGAAATATAATATTACATGATTCATAATCGCAGTCTATTGTGGTAATTACAATGATAATAAAATCGAAATTTCAAAAAATGTGTAAAACAGTGGTATTAATCTTAGTAGCTAAAATTATTAGTTAATTCAAATAGTGTCACGATTAGATTACTAATAGGAGGGGTGGAAGAGCCGATTTTCTCGCTAATAACATAGTAAGTTGTAGGTTTAACGCTTAACACTATCTGTGTCACATAGAATTCGATCAAGCCGAATGAGGTATCACTGGACGTCTGTGATCGGTTTTATGTGCGGATATTCTTTTCCAGTGACCTCTAGTCTTACTGACAACCTTTAAAGCCTTTCGCATTATGGCATAGTCCTTTATGAGTAGCTCAGGAAAGACTAAGGCGGAGCAGTGAAGTACAGTAGGTAGGATGCATGAGTTGACAAGCTGTGAAAGTAGAGGCTGAGTGACTTCTCGTTGTCTTGATTTCTTGATGTGGAAGGTTAGACGGGCCGTGTTCTTGGAAATCGACGAGATACAGGATGACGAACGAAGAGAGGTCAGAGAATAAAACTACTTCAATGTATTTTATGCTTGACCTAGTTTCCGTTTCAGTACCCTTTTAGCTGGAAACAGCTTGTGAAGCATCTACGCCTTAATGTCAAGTTAATTGACTGAAATTTAGAGGTATTGAAGCAAAAACCATTTAGCTTAGGCCATTGTCTGATATCCGAAGAGTAGCTGTTAAGTTTGGAACAATCAGATCCGGACGTATTTGTCAGCGAGACAATAAGCGAGAATATTCCTGGCTGTTTGTTGTAATGTTTGGCTACCTAGACTTCTATCTACGTAGTTCGCCTGATTTATCGTGTTTTATGTGTATTAATACAGCAAAGTAGGACATCAGTTCATATGTACGTGTAACAATAACTCAGTTCAAGCCGACTTACTGTTTATGTGAACATTATAAATGTCACCACCGATTAGTAGAAACAAGAGGATACTTCGCATAATTTTCACACACTTTTCGCAGTAATCAACCAGATGAGAACAATTCTATGAAGAAAGAAGGAAAACACGTTTGATGCGATGAACAGAATGAAAATACGATGAAAATATCTGGTCTATCTGTAGTCCTCACTTTTTATATATAATAATAATAACAGCTTTATTCCAAACAGTATTTGTGGTACAGGTATGGAATTTTCAGCGTACTTTAACATCAAAGGACAGCTGAGGCTAACTGCAATCGACGTGAGAACGTGACAAGCCAGAGCCTATCCACCAGCTAATCTAACTTCCGTCTATCGAACAACTTGCTCTTTGTTGCAGTAAAAAATTGACTCATATCCTTTGCATGTCAACCCCAACTGTATATACAAATTACATGTATCTGCGGAAGCAGTTAGATTCGGTGAGCAGAAAGAAGGGCGTAGGTACGATTTTCCGAACATGTACCAAAAAGCCTATGTCTAACGGAGACAGATGCTTTCACAGTGCCGTTGCCAGGCATCTCCTTGACACGGGTCATGAGGTGAACGTCGCAGATGATTCGAAACTATCAGTAGGTGAGGGAATTCGATTCTCCCCAAGTTTTCCGAAGCAATCTCCATCAAGCGCACTGAACCTGATTTATGCGTTGAGAAGGAAGAGGATGTCAGTCTTTCCTTGCACTGCTCACTGGACGTTTCCATTATCGATTTCATCTCATTACAAAATGTTGAAAATTTCGATTGGGTAAAACTGTTAATGTTCGGGATAAAGTGTTTACTATTCTTACTAGCATTGTATACATATATTGACTGACTAATTTTTGTTTGAAGATGAACTCTTCAAGGATGTCAAGATTGTTTTCATGCGTGTAATTAATGATGTCTTTGAGTTGTAACCAAGTGATCATAAGCCGAGGGAATAAATGATGGTTCTTGCTTCGTTCAAATTCATAAAGCGTAATAAATGTATGAAGTATAAAGATGTTTAATGATGACGGTAATAATAGTAATAAGAATCAGTAATAGTAATAGCAATAGTTAGACCTACCTATTTCTCTAATGACAGATGAACTGATTAGCTAAATATAACTGAAGTATTTATAAAACTTTTACCTGTTACACAATCACAATTTATTATCACGTGGTTACCTCAATTTAATTAGGTCATTCGACTTCTAGAAATGATTATGTGACTGTTTCGAATCAATCAGATGACTGGTACATGATTAATTCGTTATAATACAAAATAACAATATTCATCATTCATTAGAAATAAATGACTGTCAGCAGTGTTTCTTTTGTGTTTTTGTTTGATAGTGCAGTTACACACTGTTTAACACATTATTAGGCATGAAGTTGTCAATCAAGATCTGATGATTGATGTCTAAGTCTTTATCTTGGAAAAAGACTGTTGAGTGTTGACTTCGATGGTAGTGTTTAAGATTAATTAGTTGAGTGTTGTTGACCTGATACACAGTGGATGCTTTTTGAACACGTATCATCCACTCGATTTTGTAAAATGATGTAGGCTGTATGTCTACGACAGATAAAACTTTTTTCTGTCTTACCTCTAATGAAATGTTCGAATGATGAAATTAGGAGTATATTTGTGATGCATGAATTTAGACTACCCAGTAAATACCACTAGTCAAATGAGATTCTTCTTTAACTTACGCAAAAGGCTATAAACAAAAAAGCAGATACAAAATGGTACAAAAATTATACATATAGCAAGAATGTGGGCATTGCAAGTGTTATGGAATGATTTAAATGTCCAGTCGATTTATTTACTCTTATTATTATTGTTCCGTTGGATTTAGAATAAGATATAGGGCTTCAGGAACACAGCTCGACTTTGCTGTATTTTCTGCGATCCTCTCCAGCTGGGTCAACGATTCGCTAAACTCTCTCTCATCTCCTCCTATTACGATTTCCTCCCTGTCACCCTCGCACTGACGACTGACTCGCCGCTTCCTATTAGTTTTCCACTCGATCGATGACCTGCACAGCGAGCCAGGTCATTCGACGATAACCTCAACGTGTACACGATCCATCTCCATTTCCTCCTACATATTTGTTGAGAAATTGGCTCTTGCTCCGTTGGTTTGTTATCAGCCGAGTTTCTTGTTGCTTATCATTTCTTTCTGGCTATTTGATCTTCAGTATAGATCCAGCCAGTGAAGGTGGAAGCTGTTGATGAAAGTCTCGTGTAAGTCTGCGGTGGCCTGTTGGAAATCCTCTTCGTGACACGCAGTGCAGGTTTCTCACCCTGACCTATTTCGCATTGGTGTTGAAAAACTGAGTCGTGTTCCTTGTAATGAGTGTAGAAGATTACCAAGCTGGTTTCAGGTTGATGAATGCGTTTCTCGCATTTCCGATTCTGACTGGCTTTGATATGTTCATCAGCTCCGGCTGACTGCAGTTGAATCGCTGCTTCCTAGCCGGATAAGTGAAGGAGGTAACATCTGTCACATCTCTCGTGTTGATGGTGATTGGTGGTGGTTGTTGTCCTTGTTGTGGTTCGTTGGTTATATTCATCAACTCGGCCTATCAATGTTCACTTGGAGTGCTGTCTTCGCTGCTGGCCTCTTCACCCAGTTTGTTGGTTTCAACCTGCAAGTCTTCGAGTTTGTGTTACATTAGACATATATCATCCAGGCGCGAAATACAGATCGTCTAGAGTCTTCTTATCGGCGGTGCAGCGTATTCCTGTCCTCTCACTCACAACGCACAGTCTGACGCATAATCTAGGCCCCTAAAATGAGGAATATCACCAGTGATAGTGGACAGCCAGCTTGTCTTACTCCTGTATTCACTTCGAACGCTTCGCTGAGTTTTCTTTTGTGGAACACCTGACACGTGAAACTGTCACAGTGTTAGCTGTTGGATGAGGTTGACAAAGCCTTGGACACTGTACGCCGTAGTGTAGAAGTAGTTTCCAAATTACTTCTCGGTCAACGCTATCTGTCGGAGGCGTTTTCGAAGTTGATCAATTTGAGGTGGAGTGGTGCTTGACTGTCATTCTATTCTAGGCTGTGTTCTGTGATGACGATGCGTAGAGTTACAATTCGATGAGGCTATGATTTGTTTTCTCTGAATCCAGCTAGCTTGTTTCGATGGGGCTGGCGGATTTCTGTGTTTAGTGCACTCTCTATTCTCTCCGGGATGATCCGACGTATTATTTTATTCGGCGTGGACAAGAGTCAGTTCTTGCAGAGTGAGGCGTAAGCTGCTATTCTTTGGAAGCTTGACAAGGCGGCCAATCTTTCTTCCAGTCGGTGGGTGCCTTTCCTTCTTTCCGAAGCGTTTGAAATAATGGCGTGACCAAATCTGCGGCATTCTCTGGATCCTTGGCAAGTTGCAGGTGATGGTTGATTCAAGAGTCCTGTTGAGTGATGTGCAAATTGTTTCATTCG